AATAACAATAATGGTATTCTGTGTTTATGGGATTCTGGTAATGGGATTTAGGCTTGTCCGCACACAATGTATGCACTCCACTCCCTGGGGAGTATTCCATCCAGGCGCCATTTTCTAGACACACAAGGAGTCTGGTCCCCTACCGGGTACCCATTTAATACCTGAGAGGAGAGTGGCAAAGGTAGATTAACGTCTTACCAAAGGACGTGAGTGCAGGGCTGGGATTTGAATCCCGTACCTTGTGATCTACAAGTTTGGTGACTAATCCACTAGACCACAACACAAACATGAGAAATCGGTAGCCATTGTGTTAATTGATTAATAATAGATCGATTATAACGTTTGCCTTAATGAATTCAGTGATTAAATTGATTAAATTTGTTAAAAATAAGAATCAATGACTTATTACAGAATGTAGTAGACAATGCTTGTGATTATGATATCGAAATACTATGTTTTACAAAATGTTATTGAACAGGCAAATGATTACTTATTGATGAACTGAACAATTTATAGTAGGCCTTGCATATTGTGATGTTGTATGTAAGATGGAGTGGGTCACTGGAGGCTCGTATATTCCTGCATGGGGTGTATAGGGTCAAACAATCACGTAGGTATTGAGGTGCCTGTTTATTAAAGGTAAAACAAAGTTTTGGTATGGAGTCATGAATTTTGTTTAAATGAACATATTGGAAGCATATGCGATCCTACAATATTCAGTGATCGTTGTTGCGGTTGAAATCGAGTCTAAAGTTATGAAATTGTAAAAAAAAAATAAACTCTTTATGTTGTATAGCTCCCTCTCAAGGTCAAGATATTAATTAAGGTACGATATAATGTTTCTTAACTAAAATCGACCGATTAGCTATTTCCGTTTGGAAAATATATATCACAACTACATATTCTGAGATTTTCATGGTCGCAGCTACCATTCTACGGCCGTAAGCGCTATTTGAAATTTATCAAAATTTACCGGGAGCACCGGTAAATTTTAATATTCACTTTTTCTCGAAAGCAGAAGTATTTTAGGGGCTAAATATTCTAGTGCTTATAATGAACCCACAGGGGCATCCAAATATATCAAAATTGTAAATAATCACTATCCATCCAAATTTCAAAATTTCCCAAAACTTTGTTATATGTTGATTGATGTACTATTACCACTGCAGTCTGTTTTATGTAACAGATTATATCATGCTTTGTGTGGTTTTGAACAAAATGAACTGAACTGAACTGAACTATTACCTTTAAGGGATTTATAGACTAAATATAGTAATTTAAAAACTATACGAAGTCTTACAGGTAGCCAGTGCAACGAGTCAAGGAGGGGTTTAGAGGAGTGAGATCTCGTAACCTGATAAAAATTATTAGCCGGGCTGCCCAATTTTGAAGCCATTGGATACGATCTAATTTAGTAACAGGGATAGTGGAAAGAAGGCCATTGCATTAATCTAAAAAGGAAAGAACTAGAAAACGAATTGCGTTGTTACAGGCGGATTGATTCAGGCGCGGATCCAGGGGGGGGGGGCCGAGCGGGCCTTGCCCCCCCCCCGCAAAAAAAAAAAAAAAAAAAAAAAAGAGAGAGAAGAAAGGAAAAGAAGGGAAAGGGAAAGAAGAGAGAAAGGGAAAGAAAAAAGTGGAAGAAAAAAGAAAAGGGGAAAGAAGGAGATCGGGGGGGGGGGGCGAAAGAGCCTTCCTCCCAGGCTGTTGACCCCCCCCCCCCAATCAAAAAATAAGAGAGAAGGAAGGAAAGGGAAAGAAAAAAGGAAAAGAGGAGATACTTGCGTACGGATGGGGGGGGGGGGGGCTTGGGGGAAATCAAATTCAAACGTGGTTTATTTCTAATTCCACAACCGTGGATTACAAATAATGCTGAAATTACTTAATTTCCGAGATTTTTCCTCACTTTTTAGTAAATTATACGTTTGTATGTGTTTGTTGGAAAATGACAAATTCCTAAATTTACAGCCAGGCAAGAAATATGATTCTTGAGATTCCTACATGTCAGGGCCCGAGGTACGGCAGGAATCGGGAGCCTCGAGCTCCCTCCACCCCCCTACACTTTTTTTTGAAAAAGTGTAATAAAGAGAAATAAAATAGAATGAGAGCAAGAAAGAGAAAATAGTTAACTGCCCGTGTTAAGAAATAATGAGGCATCAAAATATGCTCATCTGAACTGGATTAAATGCCTAAAACCCCTAAGCTTCCGGGGGCTCTGCCCCCATGGACTCCACCTATAGGGCCCTACGGGGGCCCATAGATGCTTATCTGACGGTAATTTAATGCCTAAAACCCCTGATTTGGGGGGGGGGGGGGCTCTGCCCCTGTACCCCACGCCAATAGTGTCCTGCCAGTGTCACAAAAAAAAATAAGGTATACAAAAAAAAGCTCATCGGACCTTAGTTAAACGCCTAAAAACCCTGAGCTTCCGGGGCCGGCTCCGTCGTCTCGACCCCACCAGGGGCCCTAAGGCGGGCCCCTGAATGCTTATCTGACCGTAAGTTATTGCCTTAAACCCCTGAGCTTGCGGGGTCGGACAAGGTATCAAAATATGTTTATCGGACCGCAGGCACGTAGCCAGGCGGGGACGTAGGAAGAAAAAGGAGCAGACAAAGGATAACTTTGAAATTCAGAATCAAGAACGGTACACCTAAATCGTCTTCTTTCTCTCTTAATCTTATGAAACGTCAAAGCTTCCGCGCTTTGCGCGCGGGAGGGGGGGGGGAACCTGAATTCAAACGAGGATCCAGAGGCGAGAACTATAATACGAATCTTTAATGATTTAATGAAACATAAAAGCTTCCGCGCTTCGCGCGGGATAGAGGGGGAACTAAATTCCGACGTTTTTTTTTCGAGAACGGTACAACGAATCGTCTTCTTTCTCTAATGATTTAATGAAAATTAAAAGCTTCCGCGGGAGGGGGGGACCTGAATTCAGACAAGGAATAAGAGTCGAGAACGGTACAACGAATCGTCTTCTTTCTCTAATGATTTAATGAAAATTAAAAGCTTCCGCGGGAGGGGGGACCTGAATTCAGACAAGGAATAAGAGTCGAGAACGGTACAACGAATCGTCTTCTTTCTTTAATATTTTTATGAAACGTCAAAGCTTCCGCGCTTCGCGCAGGAGGGGGAGGGGGGGGGACTGAATTTAGACAAGGATTAAGAGTCGAGAACGGTACAACGAATCGTCTTCTTTCTCTAATGATTTAAGGATTCGTAAAAGCTTCCACGCTTCGCGCGGAAGGGGGAAAATCTAAATTTAGACGAGGATTATTTTCAAAAACGGTACAACGAATCGTCTTCTTTCTTTAATATTTCAATGAAACGTCAAAGCTTCCGCGCTTCGCACGGGAGGGGAAAAATTTAAATTGAGACGAGGATTATTTTCAAAAACGGTACAACGAATCGTCTTCTTTCTTTAATATTTTATTGAAACGTCAAAGCTTCCGCGCTTCGTGCAGGAGGGGGAGGGGGGGGGGGACTGAATTTAGACAAGGATTAAGAGTCGAGAACGGTACAACGAATCGTCTTCTTTCTCTAATGATTTAATGAATCGTAAAAGCTTCCACGCTTCGCGCGGAAGGAGGAAAACTGAATTCAGACGAGGATTAAGAGTCGAGAACTCTACAACGAACCGTCTTCTTTCTCTAATAGTTAAATAAATCGTAAAATTTTCCGCGCTTCGCGCGGGAGGTGAAAAACTTAATTCAGACGAGAATTTTTTTCGAGAACGGTACAACGAATCGTCTTCTTTCTCTAATAATTTAATAAAACGTCAAAGCTTCCGCGTTTCGCGGAGGAGGGAGGGGAAACTCGCCCCTCCCTGCACCGACCCCCCCCCGCATTATGTCACTGTTGGTCACCATTACGTACCAATATTTGGCTCGCAAAATTTCAAATTTGGGCCCCCCCTAAGAAATCCTGGATCCGCGCCTGGATTGATTAATGTATCTTCCGTTATTCGAGAAATGTTCCTTAGATGAAAAGTTGCAGTGGTACATATTTGAGAGACGCGATCTGACATTGACATTTCTCTATCCACGAGCACACCTAGATTCTCAACAATGACTGAAGGGCTTATGAATATATCACCAACTTTTAACTTAAGATCTGGTAGATTGCGTAAACTGTGAGGAGAGGTTACTTAGAGGTTACTAAAAAGAATTCTGTCTTTGAGTCATTCTACTTCAATTTATTACCCAATATCCAATTTCCAATATCTCAAATGCAATTTTGAAGTTTAAACAAAGCAGTAACTAAATCTCCTGGGATTTGGGGATTGAATGAAATTTGGTGTCATCTGCATAAAGATGGTAATTGATACAATGGTATCTAATAATATTACCAACTGGTAGAGTTTATACTTATAGAATACCCCGTGGGCCCTACTATTGATCCCTGAAGAAATCCAAAATCAAGATTAGTGGGTTTAGATAGTTCGCCAGCAATGTTGACTCTGGAGGACCATCCTGTGAGATAGGACAGGAACCATGACAGAGCTGTAGATCTTACACCAGTATTCTGCTGTAAACGAACGAACGAACGAACGAACGACGTAGATGGGGTAGTTGACGAATTTGGTTGTGCGCACATAGTATATCTGAAATCATGGAGTTACTAAAGCTTTAGTAAGTTCCCTGTTTAAATCAATCCCAACTCACGACACAGGGCTCAGAATCCGTGTACACAATGCTATTAAAAATTATTTTAAAAGAAATGAAATAAAAAATAAAAAATAAACGAAATGTTTGTGTTTGTTGAGATGACAGTGGGCAAAGCTGTATTTTAATTTTTTAAATAAACAATATAGAGAGTGCAAGATGGTACCTGCCGTCTATTACTCACAGGGAATGACAAATAATTTAGTTGTTATGATTAGTTTTCTCTTCTTTGTTAATGTTGATTCACACTTTGTCTTTGTCTTACCAAAACTCATTGGTAAATTTTTGCCGGGAAAATTCATGTTTGTTTACTGGAAGACACCGTATCGATGAAGATCTCCCACGCGCAGATCGTGTTAAAAAATCTCTCTTTCATGAATTTAGCTATTTGAAGAATAATTACTAAACTCTAATTATTCATATGGCTGTATCAAGTTTTGTGGATAATTACCTTGTCTTGTCATAGAAATTTGTAAGCACATTATTCATTGCGAAGAAGAGCATTCGCGCTCGCCCTCGAGCCAGGGACTACCAGCAGCACTCCAGCAGAACGTCGCGCCGCTAGTTCGGGGTGATCCACCTGTAACGTGTAGCTAGAGAGCACGGAGTTCGAGGTTCTTGTCATCTTCATTAAACTAGCTAACATGTCGTTGGAAACCACTGATGACAGTCAAACAACTACCACACCATCAAATGGCACTCTTGCTGCAATGGAGATTCTGCATAGCATTTGTGAAGAGGTGAATTATTTATACTAGACTAGTCTAGACTAGACTAGTTGTTGTTGTTGTTTATGTTTATAGCCCACTCAATGTTATTTAGGGTACGCGTTAAACAGAAATAACAGTCTGGTATGGGTCATTCTTTAATAAAACTGACATTTGTGAATATTCCCCATAGATCTATGTATAGAGGCGGGTTGGGAGCCCCAAATTTGCTTGAAAAATTGATTGCAAAATTTTAGAGGATGTCGTAAGACTCATCATAAACTCTGCAAGGATTTTCAAAACAAATGTGTTTGAAGACAAACATATTGATGAAAGAATACAAAACTTGGGTTTTGTGTTGTACGCAGAAAACCTACATTTTGTATTCTTTCATCAATATTTGTCTTCAAACACATCTATTCTGAAAATCTTTGCAGAAGTCTGTGTTAGGTGACATCCCCTTTTTTTCAATGTTCACTTATTATACAATTGAAGTCAATTTTTGCCATCAAATTTTATGGGCTCCCAGGTAGTTACTCCCAACACTTTAGAGAGGCCTTGAGCAATTAGTACATTTTATATAACAGATTTGGGTCAAATTCCAGTTGTCTATGCTAGGCCAGGGGTAACAGTAAAAGCTGTTGTCTTTCACCTCGGAAAATAGACCTCCTTTTTTTCTTCTTCAATTTACCTTAGGCTCATGGATGCAAACAATTACTGTACATTTGTCTGTAATTACTTCATCAATTTCTATAGAAAAAAAATTGTAAATAAAGGCCAGAATTTTTTTTCATTGCTTTCTGCTATTGCTTTCATGTTTAATTTGTTTTCCTTCAAAAATATTTATTTGATCTGTTTACAAACAAAAGGAGCTGAAAATCTCTAATCATGTCCATTGTAATGTCTATGTTTTCTGTTATGACTTTCTGATATTAATTCATGAATGTATGCTTCAAACAGGTAGAAAAGGGTAATCTTGTTGAAAAGAGAGGACACCTGGAGATGTTGTTGCAACAGACTCCATCCAAGTGGTTTCATCTTGGGACCAATCATGATCTTCAAAGAGGAAGGTACCAAGATCTTGGAGAACTCTGCATCAAAGTGGTCCTGTTGTTGATCAAGCAGACCAAGATCTCTCTAGCTAGCTGCCACGAAGCTGATGGTGAGTTGTGGTAGTTATTAGTCCTGTCAGTCCTGTGGATAGGACTTCATGCCATAAGTAATTATATTTTCTGTATACATGTTTTCCTTTTGCACATAAAGAAGATGATGACCCATGTACTGCATATGGACAATCACAAAAATGATATAATGATAAATAATTCTTTACAAAAATGTACCTGACAAGTACTACTAAAGTAAAAAACCAATTATCACTATCCCACTTGAGTTTTAGATGGTTCTGCTGCCAGTACAGTGTGTATGGGCTTTCTATTGTGCACAAGCAAAACTGAAATCCTTGTCAAAGAATGCACAGTGGATGAATAAATTAAAACATGAATAGTGAGTATGTAACATGTGAAGGCAGTTAGGATCCCCCCACACAGTAAATTAAGTGAAAGGGAATCACTGGCCGCCAATCACTCCAGCAAAGCATAGAGAGTCAATGCTAATGCGTATTGACCTCTAGCACTGCACTACGTTTTAATAGGCAGCATTTGAATACATGAATAGTCAATACACTCATAACATGCAGACGCACACAATCATGCTGATGTGGCTGATCGGCAAGTTTGACAGTGGACTCACAATTTGAATTTTTTAATTATTCTTTCTAACATCGGAAAGTTGAAAAAATTGTATTTTACTGCTATTTAGGTGTCATTAATCGTCACTAAAGTACTGACTACATGTATGAGTGAAATCAGTTTTGTACAGTGGTGTTTGAAATATTGAGAATCAATAGCATAGCTTTTAATACACAGCCAGGATAGTAATGCTCCTATGTGTGGCAGCCAATAACATTTCTCTGGTGTGAACTATCATGAGCCCAGAAAACATAATATTACATGGATTACTTTTGAAGCATAGGACTCTTTTTTTGTAAGCAAAATCCAGCAATGTGTATTCTTAATGATTGAGTGGTTTTCCTGTCATTTGTTTTGTTCTGTTAGCTCTACACTCTATCTTTCTTTCACAGCTGGTGGTGACCACGACATAAAGTACAAGGAGCATGCCTCTCTGGCTCATGCAGCTATGGCCATTGTCAGTCTTCTCTTGTCAAAGCTCAGGCCAAACCCCAAGGATAACTCATCAGTAGACCAAGGACGGATTGAATCGGTAAGGTCCAATGAAGGACATGGTGAGCAAGAGGAGGAGAATGACAGTGACATTGGGCGGTGCTCACCGTTATCAGATGGACCTCAAGTTGGACACCAAGATGGACAGCATAAACTCCCAAGATTGGATGATGCCTTCCAAGATAGTCAACAAAACAGATCAATGGATGGACTCAAGTCCTCAGGATCCTTTCCTACGATATTCAGAGAAAATGAAGGCCACTTTTCAATCAGACCGAAGGACAGCGATATTCTTGGATGTCTTCCACCTGATATTCTTGATGAGAGTTTAGAGGGACAACTTGATGACAGGGAGTCAGAGGAAAAAGGTGAATGCTCAGACAGGTTGTTACGAGGTGTGATGAAGTCTACAATAGGGCCAAGCATTGTCCTCTGTTCGTTACATGCTCAGAAACATCCATGGACAAGCAAGGCAAGTCGTCAGGCGGGAAATGGTGAGAAAATGTTATTTAATTAATGATTAGATCTTGTTGTATTGCAAGGGCTTAGTGAAATTACATTTCATTGGCATTGTTATATTATTAGTATCACATTCATTATATTATATATGATATAAACATTCATAAAATTGTAAATTCCCCTGATAGACCTTTCTTACGCTTTAAGAAGGGTAGACCATCCTGTTATCAACTTTGTTTTAATCACATCTCCAATCAATACAATTTGAGGAAAATATGATAAAGGATCAGAAATTATGAATTATTTGAATTGTAATCACTAAAATTTAATTCAGCGACTCTGTGATTTGCATTATAAGCTGCTCTCCAATCATTTTGTACTTAGAATCATCAAAAATCCTTCTCCTTATTCGTTGATGGTGGAATGTGTAGAAATATATATCAATTGATATTGCTAGCACACTAAAAATTTTAGCTACAATGTCTTCATTTGAAATTAATGGAAATCTATTATGATAAGATTAATTAGTAGAAAACTACTAAGATCTGCTCATAAGAACAATCAATTACAATTTCTATACACCAGTGGCTGTGCTTTCTCTGTTTGAAGTATTGAAAAGGCATTGTTATTCTTTCTTCTTTCGTCCAAACTCTTGCTTGCCACTACAGCATTACTTACTCAACTCACCAGGATATGTGGTTGCAACTCAATATCTACTCTGCTCTCTGGCTGCCACAATGAGACCCAGCAACATGATGGTGTAAGTCTGAGGAGACTGATCCCCAAAGGTGCCTTTGGTCTTGCTATTGTGGAATTGAAGCAACAACTCACGAGGAGCGACTGGAAAAAGTATCCTGCAGCAAAACATACATTCACCTGGCTGTTAGCTCATATGAAAGTAAGGTTTGGTGCAGTATATCGTGTTTGCTCAAATTAACATAATTTTGTATTATTATTTGTAAAGGATCCACATACTTAAAAGGAAGATAAAAAACACATTTGAAACAAGAAAAGAATTTATATACCTCACTTAAGAAATCCAGCCATCTGATTGGTCGAATTGCATTCATAAACTTCAACTGTTCCTGTAAAATTCTCGGTAACCATGCATAAAACATTTCAATATTTTTAATAACCATGGTTATTAAAAAAAGTTGGTCAGCCTCCATGGTTACCCCATAGGTTTACATGTTAAAAAATGGTTTGAGCGATGGAGGATGCCGTATGTGTGCGAAGGATTGGTCGGTAATTTCAATACAATTGAATCTCGATCGATCTTACCGACAATTTTATCTTGCATTGTTGACATGAAGACGAAAATAAACTTCCAAAAACAAAAAAACAACATCTGCCGATAGATCTTGATCTAAGTTCGTGCCAATATGCATTGCAAAAGTAAAAGAAGAGTCCGTATATGGAGCTTTTGCGAAGCATTCATCACACGCGAAGCCGGTTTCAATCCATTTTAATGTATATATTGGAGAAAACTGACAAGCATGTTAACGGCGGGCCATAGCCGAGTGGTCTAAGCGTTGGTTTTCGGTACACCTCGTGTTGTACGCAAGAGTTCGAATCCCGTCTTCGACAAAAATGATAAATATTTTTAATTTTTCATTTTTTAGTCTATTTTTTTTCGGCATATAAAAGTATTAATGACTGCTAGTATTAAAAACAACATCTGCCGATAGATCTTGATCTAAGTTCGTGCCAATATGCATTGCAAAAGTAAAAGAAGAGTCCGTATATGGAGCTTTTGCGAAGCATTCATCACACGCGAAGCCGGTTTCAATCCATTTTAATGTATATATTGGAAAAAACTGACAGGCATGTTAACGGCGGGCCATAGCCGAGTGGTCTAAGCGTTGGTTTTCGGTACACCTCGTGTTGTACGCAAGAGTTCGAATCCCGTCTTCGACAAAAATGATAAATATTTTTAATTTTTCATTTTTTAGTCTATTTTTTTTCGGCATATAAAAGTATTAATGACTGCTAGTATTAAAAACAACATCTGCCGATAGATCTTGATCTAAGTTCGTGCCAATATGCATTGCAAAAGTAAAAGAAGAGTCCGTATATGGAGCTTTTGCGAAGCATTCATCACACGCGAAGCCGGTTTCAATCCATTTTAATGTATATATTGGAGAAAACTGACAGGCATGTTAACGGCGGGCCATAGCCGAGTGGTCTAAGCGTTGGTTTTCGGTACACCTCGTGTTGTACGCAAGAGTTCGAATCCCGTCTTCGACAAAAATGATAAATATTTTTAATTTTTCATTTTTTAGTCTATTTTTTTTCGGCATATAAAAGTATTAATGACTGCTAGTATTAAAAACAACATCTGCCGATAGATCTTGATCTAAGTTCGTGCCAATATGCATTGCAAAAGTAAAAGAAGAGTCCGTATATGGAGCTTTTGCGAAGCATTCATCACACGCGAAGCCGGTTTCAATCCATTTTAATGTATATATTGGAGAAAACTGACAGGCATGTTAACGGCGGGCCATAGCCGAGTGGTCTAAGCGTTGGTTTTCGGTACACCTCTTGTTGTACGCAAGAGTTCGAATCCCGTCTTCGACAAAAATGATAAATATTTTTAATTTTTCATTTTTTAGTCTATTTTTTTTTGGCATATAAAAGTATTAATGACTGCTTTAATATTCGAGAAATAGTTGTTTTCATACGCTCTCGGGAAGGTTACAATTGGGCTATTCCCCTCGGCAAGCCTCGGGGAATAGCACAATTCTAACCTTCCCTTGAGCGTAATAAAACAACTATTTCTCTCAAAGCAGTCATTAATACTATAATATAACATCACACATAACTTGCACCATACCAGACAGTATGTGCCACACATGATTTTGGAATGGTAAATGTAAACTGCAGCTTCCACACTTATTCCTCCTATAGTAGACTACTTATTTTGAGCTTTCTTTTTGCGAGAACATTAGAATTAATTCTGAAGTGTGAATCAGTCCATGAAATTATTGATGTACAGTCTTATTTGGTAGTTTGTCTGGTTCATAAAGTTAAGGAGAGGTGCCTTTGTTTACATTTACAATAATTCTGTTAGGATAGCTTGTTCCAGTTAGTACTCCATTTTGACTGTTCATTTTATTAACTCCTTTCTTTTAGCATCCATATGTAGGAGAGCAGATAGACCACTGTCTTCCGCCATCTCTTCTCTTTGTCGATGACTTTGAGGTATGGTATCACTTTTTCCTATCACTGTTTGAGTGATTGAAGTTAGGAATGTAGAAAGTGACATGATACGTTTCCTTTCATTTTGATTTTTTTTATCTAGGTATGGTAATATTGGAATGAAATTACCTGTACAAAAATATGATTGAATATTTAGTTTACAATGACAATTGATGAGATTGTCTTGATGGTTACATAACATGGTATACTATGAACTTGCCAAATTATGTTGCCAACATTTAAAGCATTCTAAATTCATTGACGACACTGACATATGACTACATTCAGTTACATGTGCTAAAATGTTGTGATATGTTTCTGTTATATCCAGATTTTTAATAAACATAGGCAATTTTCTGATATGGCTTAATTATTTTGCTTTAAGTGTTCAAGTCGAATCATCAGTATAGGAGATTCCTTGCACCTCTTGTTCTGTTCTAGGGAAAATAAACAGATACTTTTATTATACAGTATGTGCTTAAATAGGTTAAATAGTTTACTTTTGTTTTGTTTTGTTGTGTTTTATTAGATGGAGAACAAGGTACTTGGAATACAGTGCTTGAAGCATATTATAGAAAATGTGGTAAGTAATGATATATTCAAACAAAGTGTTTCAGATGTGAATAGTTTGAAGTAGAAGGGTGGAGGGGATAGCACTTTGCATAAGATGCGAGATGACATACTAGGTTAGAGTGAATGATGTATTTGTAAGGTACTTTAAAAGAGACATTGTAGATGTAATGGGTGCTTCATAAATCCTCTATATTATTATCATATTCCAGACTCTTATGCTGTTATTTTGTCATATAAGTATCAGGGAGGTAAGGTGTAATGTTTGATCTCAGTTAGTGATGTCATTGTTCTTCAAGATATCATCATTGCATGTTAAGCAGCTTGTAGGTGTGACATATTGGTATGGTATGGTGTTCATCTGTTCATCATCATAAACCTTGATGTCTTTAATCTTACCCCTCTGATTAACTCTAGGACCCGACCGAGTTGAGGTGGTATGGTAGAGCAGAAGTCATCTATGAAGCCCTTTATCCATTGATGTACAATCACAAACCAGACCTCATTGATGTCCTCTATCCTTGCTTCTTAGCGACCCTCAAGGTTGTAGAGAAAGACCCCAAGAAGACAGATCAGCCTAGAAAGGTAGGTTATCAAGTGATCTCTTGGGATATATTCTTTCTTTCCATTAAAGTATGAATAGGTTATATATACATGGTAAACCATAAACCTAATGTAGATATGGTGGATAGCCCATTTTGGTGGTACTTTCATAAATTCCATTTTCTTCCACATGGGAGAATTTGTAGTTCCTCAGTCATATTTCCCAATAGTAATAGTGATGACCAACCCTTGTGGATCCCACCATCCATGTGCTTGTTCAATCATCCACCAGGACACTATCACACAGTGAAATATGTAAGACTTATCAAATATAAGTCACTAATATGATGATGCTATCATATCCTTACACCAAGATTTAGGCCTATTAATACGAAGGATCATTCACTGAACATGTTGTTTCCTAATGTATTGTGGGATTCCTCTTGACCTTTCTTGACCTGTCATCATCCTCATTCCTCTTAACTTTCAATTTTATCATCAGCTTGGGAGGTATGACAAAGCTCTTCAGATAATACTCTCCAACATGGAGGGAGAACAGAGGATAGCGGTACGCCAAGCCAATGCAAGGCATCTTCCTTCCTTCATCGTTGCCATGGGGATCACCATTCTCTGGCATATAAAGGTATTTACAAGTATACATCATTTTAGTTTTACTACAAAAGATAACAAAAAACGAAAAAAATGCTTGATATGTGATGTGATCAAGAACCTGTTTCATACGAAGCCTAAGTTTATGTACACTTTCAGCCCTACTAATGTGAGAAATATTATGTATTGATTTTTCTAACTGAAGCTGGGTATTAAATGATTACGGGAGTATTTTTTGATGAACTCTTGTAAATGGTAGCTGCCATTCAGCAAATAATAATCACCCCACATGAAACGTATCGAAATGTCAGCATAGTCCGTCATCCTATGAAATATGAATTAGAAATTTTGTCATGTTTGTTGTTTTTATTTTATATAATTGCATGTATACGATATTGAATTTGAAATCAATTTTATGAAAATATTCTTTCACACAGAGATTGGTTCGTATCATCATTGCCTACCTAGAAACAAGTGATGGCATAGAGGAGACTGGTAGAATCCTAACTCTTAGAATACTGCAAGCAGTCATAGTTCAAGCATGGCCTAGGTATGTATACTGAGAAAGGGTCACCATTTATTAGCTTGCCCAGTACTGAAATTGTCTGGAAGATTAAATAGAAGGACATTTCATGTTATTCCTGATAATTTATCCAGACTGGTTGTCATACATGTATCATTGACAAGGAACATTTATTAAATTACAAACATAAAAAGAAATTGCACCAAATCTAAATCATTCCTAATACTAGATTTGATATAAGCTGAACAAAATAAGAAAAAGATGGTATGTTTGCTGATGAAATATTCCCTTTTTGATGAGAGGAAAAGATAAAGAAAAAATTCTTGTGTGCAAATTGCACCAGAAGAAGCAGACGTACTAGTTATTGGTAATCTAAGTTGGTAGTTTTGGTTATTTTAATACACAGTTATGTCTTTGATACAGCAATAATTAATGATTAATATTTATGTTTGACAGGATGATGAGTCACTGTTCTGACCTGATGAAATCTCTCCTGAAATTAGTGCTGGACATTTCCAGAGGACCAACTGACATTTCACCTCAAGGTATGACGTTTGATATTCTTGTCTCTTTATGTGCTAAGGAATACTGTGATTGGTATTTTGATATGTAACAAAAGTGGTACAGGATTTTGAGCTTAGAATATGAAATGATAACACTGAATGGCATCAACTTTCCAAGATGTTGGAATGACAGAATACTCAGGTGTTCAGTTTCTTTAGGTGACATGTGTGGTTTTAGAAATCTAGTATTAAACGCAATAATATTCTAGTTTGTTTCCTGTGTAATTTTTTTTTACATGTGACAATGAATACACCCCTTTGCCCAAATATTTGATGTGAGGTGATTGTCATCATGTTCTTCTGGAAACAAGTCATGCTATTTCATACTTAAATGTTTAGCAATTAAATTCAAACAAGTAATCATACCCTAAAATACCTTTAAATGTTGGTCCCATCTATTTTATTTTGCAGTGAGAGATACAGTACGCAAAGAGTGCATTGAGTGCATGACGTTGCTGAAGAGGTGCTGTGGTACAGTTGTGGAGGACACGGTGAACATGCTCCTAGGTTCAAATCTCAAGGACAGGTTCTTGAAAGACTGCCTGGAGAATGTTCTTGAAGGCTGAATGAGCTGTATAAGCATGCGTCCTGTATGCTTCCTAGGTTAGAAGGAGGGGAGGGAAAGATCTTATAATGGAATAAAATCTTTTTTGTTTATGACTACCGTAATTAACGTTGTATATACCGCCCTTGTGTATTAACCGCACCCCTCTTTTTCGCCCTAAAAAAAAAACAACTTAAAAAACAGTAGAGGACCTAGGATAGAACATTGTGGTATGCCGTGTAATAGAAGAAAAATTGGAGGAATTATTTTTATCAACTACATATTGAAATCTATCAGAAAGATAACTTTCTAACCAAGATGACAGACAAATTTGATTGTTGTTCAAGTTTCTGAGTGGTGAGTCAACACACCGATTACTGAGCTGGGAGACATTGCCAGGCATAGCGCCAGGTGGAGGGGCATAAATCGAAACTTTTTAAAGCCCTTAAATGAAATACCTTTTCTAAATACTTGACAGATATTATTACCCCGTCATTCGATTCATTTACGCACACAGTGTGCACCATTTCCACTTCCCGGGGAGTATTCCTACCATTATTGTCATTGTGAGGGCATATGGCTATTTCCTTCATCCTACCAGGTCACCATTTCTCTCCTGGGTATGGAGTGGCAAATATCTTGCCAAAGAAATTAGTTCTGTTTTAGGGATCGTACCTACGACCGTTGCATTTCCAGTCAATTGCTTAAACCACTCGACTATGACACCTCTACCTTAAAGGTACTATGTCCCATTTGCAGGCCCCAAAAATGAACAGGTTAAATTCCAACAGCATTTGAAAGATAATGCTAATTTAGAACTTCCCTTAAAAAAAAGGGGGGGGGGGAGGGCTTGAAAATGTCTTTAAGTGGAAAAATAATGATTATTAGTTGTTGAATCGACTGAAGTGCTACCAAGTCAGTAAGTAATAGTCTGATTTTCAGACCATTGTACCAAATGGTCGTACGTTTTGTGCTGCGCAAAGATTCATTCAGTTTAATTTTGGCTATTACAAGAAGTGGGGTATTGATGTAGACAAGAGCTCATTTACCGTTTACAGTTCATTTTATGTATGTTATTACCAAAGAAGAACAAAAGCCAGTCAGTCACTCAATAGTGTCTGACAGTGAAGTTTAGCAAGTAAACAGGTTTCCTTGCATAATTTGAATATTAGGACACATACATGACATATTCATAATTCCTGCAAAGTTCTACATAATTTTATGTTGGCTGCAAAAGGAACATAGTATCTTTAACCTTAAGAAAGGCTTGAAATCACATACACATAAATTTACATTTACAGGCTCACAAGAAATGATAAAAGCCAAGAATAAAATTAGGTATCATGTTAGAAACGATACCCCAAGTTTGTATGTTATGTATGTTATGTATCCACACAATTCCATTATCCTGGTACATCTGTTAAAAAATCCAATAAATCAATCAATTATCGTGAGTGAAACAGTGTTCCACTAAGCTACCCAGAATTATTTTCTTAACAGCATGAAGTATAACCAGAAATACTGTAATGTTAATGTTAACCCATCAGATACACTATATGATTTTCATACATAGCATGAATATAAAGACTCTGACTCAAGTTATCTCGGGTGTAGTATTCAATAGGTCAACAATAATTGCCTCGAAAAATCAAAATGAATGGTTGATTTTTATGCCTCTGTTACGAAGTAGCCGGAGGCATTATGTTTTCGGGTTGTCCGTCCGTCCGTACGTCCCGTTCTCGTGATCGCGTTATCTGAAGAACCGATTGATGGATTCCTGCCAAACTTTGGTCATGTATGTATCTTGCAGAGCCGATGAACTGATTCGATTTTGGGGTCACAAGGTCACAGGGCTCATTATGTATGCAAAAACAGCTCGTGATCGCGTTATCTGAAGAACCAATTAATGGATTCCTGCCAAACTTTAGTCATATATGTATCTTGCAGAGCCGATGAACTGATTAGATTTTGGGGTCACGAGGTCAAAGGTCACAGGGCTCATTATGTATGCAAAAACAGCCTGTGATAGTGTTATCTCAAGAACCGATTGATGGATTCCTGCCAAACTTAGGTCATGTATGTTACTTGCAGAGCCGATGAACTGATTAAATTTTTGGGTCATTGGAACAGATTGATGGATTCCTGCCAAACTTAGATCATGTATGTATCTTTCAGAGCCAATGAACTGAGTAGATTCTTGGGTCATGAGGTCAAAGGTCATGGGCTCATTATGTATGCAAAAATAGCTTGTGAACGCATTCTCATTAGAATTGACAGATGGATTACTATTTAACTCAGGACATCTTGCAGAACCAAAGAACTGAGTAGATTTTAGGGTCATGGGGTCAAAGATCAAAGGGTCATATATGTATATGAGAAATTGCTTGTAATCAGGATATTCTGAGAACCTGTTAATGGATTACAATTGAAATGGAATTTGAAAAATTTCTGCTGTTTTGGTTTGTAAAATTGCTTTTTGACGGAGGCATCATTTTCAGTCGATAAGGCATCAGTCGAAGTTCCATCTAGTTAAAAAGGATTCCTTTCATTATGATGAGTGTCCAGAGTAGAAGCTACACAATGATATGTGATTATGAATATCATGCATGTCTTCTGCAGGACATTAAATTATTTGATGCTACAATTCTTTAGTAATGGTATAGATGGTGCAAAATATTTACATAGGATTTCAAGTCATTGTGAGTAAACCATTATGTAAACAAGAAATACTTTGCAATTAAAAAGCAGAAAGATAAAAGGTATTAGAAAATTTTCAGATTTGTCTTTATATGTGTAGATTGTTTAGTGTTTTTTTTGGTATAATATTTTGACTGGTACACAATTTCCATTAGAGCACAACATGTAGATAAAAGAGGAAGTAAACATGATGATTCAACAAAGAGTTTGAGTTTATTAACAACAGCAATAAGAACAAATAAAACGTAAAGTATCAATCATCATTACATAAGATATAACAATATAACACAAGATAAGTAACATTACACATGAATAGGATAAATGTTGTTTTACAAAGTATGTTATATACAAATGAAAGAAAAGATTATGTGTATGCTTTAGAAAGAAAGTAGAAGATGGCGAGGGGGAGAGAAAGATATGATATATGATGAGGATAGGATGGAGAAAGATGGGGGGCAGGGTACTAGAAAGAGAGAGGGAGACGGAAAGTGGAGAAAAGGTAGAGAGAGAGGGAGAAGGAAATGAGAGAGAGAGAGAGAGAGAGAGAGAGAAGGGGGGGGGGGTACGCTTGCTGCATAATGGTCTTTGTCGGTATGATCTGGTAATATGAACCAAGAGGAGAGCAGTATAGAAGGGAAACAAGAGAGAGAGAAAGAGAGAGAGAGAGAGAAGGAGGTTAAGGGAGGGGAGAGATAGGAAAATAAAAGAAGCAAAGGAGGGGGGGGGGAGGAAAACAGAAAGAGGGAGGGGAGAGATGAGTAAGAGAGGGAGAGGGAGAAATAGAGGAAGGGGGGGGGGGGAGACAAGTAGAGAGGAGCGAGAGAGAGGGGAGGAGTAGGAGAGAGAGAGAGGGGAAGTGAGTGAGAGTGGATACACCTGCTGCATATAGGTCTTCTGTGGTATGATTTATTGATTATGGACCAAAGGGAGAGGTGTATAGAGGGAAAATAAGAGAAAAAGAGAGATAACGAGCAAGAGAGAGAGGAGAGAGAGAGAGAGAGATGACGGGGAGGAGGGGGGGGGGGGGGGGCATTGGCAAAAAGAAGGAGGGGAGGGAGGAGTAAGAGGGAAAGAGGGGATGGAAAGATAGGAAGAGATGGATAGTAGCCTCATGGATAGAGAGGTGAGAGAGAGGGATAGAGAGGTGAGAGAGAGAAAAATATAGAGAGAGGGAGAGAGAGAGAGAGAGGGAGAGAAAGAGAGAGGGGGGGGGGGGAATACACATCCCGCTTGCAGGTCTGTTCAGTGACGTGAGTTTGTGATTTGGACCGAGCAAATAAAAGACAGCAATCATTAACCCATGTGAAAAATAGGCATCTTGGATCCATGAATGCAAATTTAGATTGACCTTTGCAAGGTTCGTCTGTATTACAAAACTACACTGTTGACCTTGCACGAAATAGAGTCTATGGTGCAATCTGATGGAACATATTCATGATACAATTATTAACCCAGACAAAACACATACCATATGTACATTGTTGTTGGTGGGGATTCCCCACTCCCCGCTCTCCCTATCGTCTGCCGTGTTATTCACAGCAGTGCATTACTAAACATATTGCATGGAGGAAATCCTGTCCTGAGCAGTTGCTGTGTGATTAATTCACGTCTGTTTGTGAGTATTAAAGTCATTTTATTTTAGAATGATGATTTCGTAACAACATAATGACTAGATTGGTCAAATTGAGAGGTGTGTTTGTGTTGTCTAAGCTTCTACAATTTGGCCAGATATATTGCAGATATTTTTTTTTTGTAATATATTTTATCCTTATTATTATCATCATTATCTCCCTCTGTACCTTTATCTCTCCTTAAATCTTTTTTAAATCAGGTGTGTAGGTTTACTGATAGAATGCGTATTTTTGTATTTGATTTGATTTATAATATACAGTACTTCTTTTGTAGACTCTATGTTTAAATAATATTATTGTCAACATTTCTTTGTATATTATGTTGTATTATTCTAGTCGTTAACTGACCCCTACACCATGTGCTGCTGGTCACTTTTTATAAAAACCAATAAATTGATAAATTCTGAGTATAGTAGCAGCAGAAGTAATAGTAGTATTAGTAGTAGTAGTAGTAGTAGTAGTAGTAGTAGTAGTAGTAGTAGTAGTAGTAGTAGTAGAAGTAGTAGTAGTGAGTAGTAGTAGTAGGAGAAGTATAATGGTGATGATGATTTTATTAAAGAAAAGGCCTATTTATATGTGTGCATTGCATCATTGTGTTAGTTGTCACACTCTAAAAACTAAAATCTTAAATCTCAATTTAAAAGGGCCGAGGAGTGACCACTCTTTCAAAATGGCAGATTGTAACTTTTAACATGCTGGATTCAACCTTTATAGTGTTGGATCCAGCATGTTCAAAGTGTTATTCTACCATTGTGAAAGAGTGGTCACTCCTCGGCCCTTTTAAATGGTGATTTAACATTTCAGTTTTTAGAGTGCACGTTGTGGCGGCCCAATCAAAGAGCTTTCCTTCCTAAGTCAATGAATCTCGCCTGCTTTGTCTATTACTGTTAATTATTTATTCATGTGATGCAAGAATAGAATAAATATGTCTTAAATCTGAATTTGGAAAAAAAAGTACGTGCTATATGATATTTGATCCTGCATGAGGGCTGTTTTGAGTGGCCACTTGCCATTCTTAAAGAGCCCATGACATCGAAATACATGTGTATTCCTGTTGTTGTGCAGTCCTGCATACATCTCACATTTTGATATGTAATTTTCTGAATTTGTTTCATAGATTTTTAAATATTTTTTTGAAATTTTTGTTTTTCAATCTTGCTAAGCTCCACCCCAAAAACCTCCAGATCTCATTCCCCTTGTGACATCATCTGTCATTCATCAATGAGCTAACTTGAGAAAGTGGTATGTATCTTTGCCGAAGTCGACCACCTGTTACAATACGTAATACAATATCAACATACAAGTTGCTATGCCAGACATGCTGTAGCATCACCAGGAAGACAAAGGCAATGATGATGTATTGTACATATGTATGGAAGCATGCAATTCTATTATGAACTAATAAGTAATAACTAATAATAATAAGCTGGGGGAAATTAGATACCATTGTCTATTCTAGAATATTAGTTTAGTCTCACATGTTGTTTGTTGCTTGTATGTTGCACACCAACAGGAATACACTTGTAGTTCGATGTCATAAGCCCTTTAAAGGGCAAGTCCACTCCAAAAATAACTTACTTAAAATAGAAGCAGATAAATCAGACAAACCAATCAAAAAAAGTTTGAGCAAAATCGGATAATTTATAAGAAAGTTATGAATTGTTAATGACATCAGTGAAAAACTTTGAAAATCACAAGACAAATTGGATACTTAATCCTGAGTCTTTGACATCATTGCCTCACTATCCACTAATTGTTTTCTCATTTTGGTAATATAAATTTCCAATTTCCCCCCTAAAAATCATATTTCCTCACACCAGCATCCAGGTTTTATTCATAGTAATATGTTTTTGTGTGGATGCACTATAAATATAGAGTAATTTATTTTGGTTAAAATCATGACAAATGTGAATTTCGATAAACTACTCATTTAAAAATCAATGATTATGAATATACAATATTTTTTAAAAAAGTATCGGTTCTTCAAAGTTCAAAAAAGATTTTGTGAAAATGTCATGCACGCTATATGATACAAATCATATAACCTGGGCAAAGGCATGGGAAAATCAAGTTTTTGGGGATAAAAATGTATAGTGAGGCAATGACGTCACAAACTGAAACCAAATTAACAATTTGTGTAGTGATTTTCTGATTTAGTAGTTTTTCATACTTTAAACCAAAAATCATAACTTCCTTATCAGTTATCCGATTTTACTCAAATCTTTTTGGCTCTATTTCTCTTCATGTTTTTTTGCATCTATTAAAGCAAATTATTTTTGAAGTGGACTAGGCCTTTAATATGCATACACCCATTTTAATTTCCCTTGTAATCTTCACCCAATCTCTCTTCCTCGACATATTCCTCTGTCAGCCAGACATTTATTCCATCCTTCCTTCACCTAAATAGATATAATTCTCATTACATATCCTTGTGATATATTCCTTGAAGCTTGTCTGTATGTAATATTTTAAAAATTGATCATTAATTTAAATATTAAGAAGCACATATGATTCAGGAGATCAAATTCCTATATCAGGGGAGACGGAAGGGTAGCAAAGTACAAAAGCGACCACACCGACTTCCATCACCAACTTTTTTGTTGATTGCCACAGAATTTTCGGCCTTGTACCCCTGTGAGATCATAAACTATCTTGGAATTTATAAGTCACTCTATATTGTTCAAGTAAAAAATTATATATAAATATTTGTCCGTATGGTCCATAGATACCATCAATTCTTGGTCAGCTATAATGCCGGCTACTCGAGCAACCAGCGCAACATCTCTGTCGCAACAGCAGAGGCAATATGGCAATAGTTTCTTCAAATCATCTCAGGAGGGTGGTTTCGGGTTCGTTGTCCAGTGTGGAAGATTGGAGTCTGCTCTTCAGTGGTATCAGTGTGCTTCTAGCTGCAGCTGCAACGAAGATGATGCAGTCTCGGCTATCAAAAATATCGCCATGACAACCTGGAAGTTGGCTTCTCTGCACGGGTCAACGACAGACAGGAATCAGAAGTTACAGAAGGTAAGATCATGGACCTAATCACGAAGGTCCAAGATTATTTGCAAGCCCACCCCCCCTTCCCCTCCCCAGGATTTGTAGACTACCGATACTCTGGCAACCATAACTTCATCTTTGGGTACCGAGCTACCTGAATATTCAATTTTCTTTTCCTATCTGGTTGAAAAAATAACATTTTTATCCTGATATATTGTCTTTTTTCTAGCTCGATCACTTTGCTTACTTGAACAATTGGAAATTAGAATGTTGAAATTCTGTTAAGATGCCTCAGCCCATCCCCCTGTCTTTAATTTACTTGTACTCTTTTGCTGATATTTCTATATTAAGTTGTTTAGATGATTTGTGTGTTAAAGATGATATGGTCGGGCATATTGTACCGCAGTAACCGTTTTACTTTGACAAGATCTGTCAATTTTGGCATCGGGATCTTAATTCATACTGTCTAAACATACACATTTTTTTCCTCAACCTATACTTTATCAAAGGTCATAGCCAGACGTTACTTCAATGATGCCCTCCAAAACTTCAACAAGGCACTTCTGCTTAGATCCTGCAAGAATGCTGCCTGGACTGACCACCTGCGGTCATCCATGCGCAGATGCGGGGAGGAGGCCATTGCGTGGATCAATAAGTCTTTCGAAAATGAACAAGAGAAGATGGGTTTGCTTACCGAGACTTTAGCTCAGCTGCCTGATGAGAAAAGGAAGGCCGAAGAATACGTCAAATTGGCAACCCACCTCTTTGGACTAGGAATGACAGCACTCGGGGAGCTCCAGTACAAAGAATGTTTTAGGTAAGTGTATGTGGATGAGGTGCGAGCCAATATACAACATGTTTACAGATATCGATCATTGAGAACTTAATACGGTATAAAATCTATTGATATAGTCTTTAAAAGTCTAAATAAAGGATAACCATGTTTTAAAGTGCTGTTATTAAATACGGTTCATTCTTGCAATAAAGCCTCACATAGGAACATGATTATGAGCTCACCATGTTAGTGGTTTCTATGTTCACCCTTCTTTGAGATGAGTAAAATATTTCCTCCTTATTATTAAAAGAAAGTTATGTTCTGTTCATATGAAATGGACAATATCATCTCTATGTTCATGATATTCAACTATTTATTTGATTGACATTGTGTACCGAAATAGCACAGTGGCTACATGTAGTCCTGTTAAAACAGATGTTCCTCAAACTATTCAAAATTAGACTGTTATTGAATATCAAATTCCTAAGAGTACAAATAACAATTTGATAAAAGCATTTGGCTATTGTCAATTGGCAGGTTCATGAAAGAGTGCTACTTCCCAATACAAGAGGCAGCTAGAACATGTAAAAATGATCCAGTCATAATGTCCGAGGTGGAAGTTCTCCAGGAAGATGTACATCAGCATACACGCCTCGCTGAAGCAGGCAAAGCAAGGGCTACAGGTAGGTCGATAAATTCAATGGTGAAAGGTCAAATAAAAAATTAAATTTCCATCGGGCTTTTTTCGATATGGCCTGATGCTATAATGTCATACGTTTATCTTTGATTTGTTTAAAACCAAGAAAACTATTATTTTGTTTCTTCCTTAAAAAAGATATAATTTATTATCAGATATAATAATTTATACATTCATTGTTTGAAACAAAAAGTCTACATGCCACAGTTAAATAAATAAATTTTCTGTTCATAGAGTTCCAATGGTTGTCTAGTCTGATTAAGATTTTAATTTTTTGTTGTTGTCTGAATTGAAATGTAGTTTTCTACGCTGAGATGACTATGATAACAATGAATAAACTAGATGTATTTTAAACTACCGGTAAAGTAAATATTGATAGAAGAAGACAGCTTAAGTATCTCTGAAAATACTTTCCGATCCACATACCCATTTTAATTTGTTGAAAGCATTCCAAATGATTATGGCCTCGATCTGCAGCTAAGTATTGTACATGCCAAATTAGAAACAATAGTAGAAATGTTTATAAGAAACTTTTTTGTCATAAATGTTTTCTAGCAACTGATTTTTCCAACCGAATAGGGCACTTGATGATTATTTTTTTTAAATATGATTTTTAAGCATAAAATGTCTCTGTTCTAATGTTTCAATGTTTATATCCTGTGGCTTTAACACCTCTTCCTATGTTGCAATGTCTAACAGCTAATGCACATCCGATTGCCAAGTTTTCTAAACAGCTGTTAACCCTGTTTGGACCCATTTCGCAATACCAAATCTCCGCCCACCTAATGGGTCTGTAAGATTTCGCAATGCAGTGAATGGATATAAATGACTGTCAAAAATTCTCTTTTCAAAAGAATGAACTATATTAATGACAACCTAAAATTCGTCTGATTTCAACTGAGTTCATTTCAACTTTAGCGCTACTACCAATATATTTGATGATTTATCTGTCTCACAATTCAGTATCACAACTGTCTCACAACTTAATATACCACATTTTTATACAAGCATGTGAAACAAACCCCGTTTATATATTTTTTTGAGTATGGGTGTCCATCTATACTTTTCCAAGACGTATCTTCTTAATTGATGACTTTTTCAAAATCAGAGGAGATTGAGATTGAGAATAATACATTTTTTTTTTAAAATAAATTATTTTATAAAACAATTTATTTCTCATCTCTCCATTATAACCATGGTAACTACTTAGGCGATGCGCTCCTGGAGACAGGACCTAAGGACAAGAAGGAGCTAAACGTGGAGTTAATCTGGTCCATCATGGATTGGTATAGGCAGTCTGTCATCCTGTGTAAAGGGAGTGATATAGAACAAGAGGCTATCGCTTTCAGCAGGCTGGGCAGGGTTTATGGCAAGGTAAAAAACTGGTCATCTTTTCACGAAATCATCTTAAGTAGAAGTTCGCCAACATCCCATTGAAATGTGTGTATTGTAATTATTAAACACACGTTCCAATAAGATGTCAGTGTACTTGCACTTAATTTAATGTCGTGATACAATACCCTGGTGAATTATTGCTTTTTCAAGTGCTATATTCGATTGCGGTGATTATTATATCATATTAAATAGCGATGGTGATTATGTATGGCTGTGATAACGACCAAGATGATTGGTATGATGGTGACAATCTAGATGATGATGGTGATAATGATAATAATAATGGTATGGTGATGAAAGTAGTATGATGATGGTAGTGTGATAATAATGGTATGATGATGATAATAATAATGATGATGATGAAGCAGATGATGATGATGATGATGGTGGTGATGATGATGATAATGGTATGATGATGAAAGTAGTATGATGATGGTAGTGTGATAATAATGGTATGATGATGATAATAATGATGATGATAATGAAGCAGATGATGATGATGATGATGATGGTGTTGTTGTTGATGATGGAGATGTTGATGGTAGTGGTGGTGAATAAGATGAGGATTATAGTGATGATGTGATGATGATGATGATGATGATGATGATGATAGTTATGATGGCGATGGTGATGATGATGATGATGATTATCACGGTGTTGATGATGATAATGACATATGATGATAATGATGGTGATGTTGATGATGATGATGATGATGATGATGATCACGGTGGTGAAGATGATGATTACGACGAGGATGGAGATTTAGTGAGCACATTTGAATTTAAGTCATCCGTTTCTAGGCATATTACAATTTCTGCTCAATTTTGTTGGGCATAATCCAACTCCCTCCCCGTTAAAAAAAAATGAAACAAAAAAAAAAGGAAAAAAACACACAAATAAGCGAATTTTTATCTTCTTGTACAACTCCTCTTTATTTTATTAACAGAATCTGTTTTATTTATATTGCTACCAGGTACTGAAGTTAACAGTGAAGGGAAAGGATTGCTACAAAAAAGCCATTGAGCTTGCACTGAGTATGTACCCTAGAAACTTCCATAACGTTGGTGAGTATACAGGACCATCTCATCAACCTTCAATTACAGAGTATTTTACAAAAATCATTTACTTTTACCAGTTTTCAAAAGTTTCGGAAGAAACAGATATGTCAGCCGAATATTCTTTCGCGAAAACACTGAAGACTACATGTAATAAGACAGTAGTAAAAAAAATTCAATAGTTAATGAAGGCTTAAAAAGTGCGGTAGAGGGAGGAGTGATTTGACATTTGCTTAGACGATATTATTATTAGCTCAGGGCTTTAATTCGTCAAATATATGGTTATTGGGTTATATGTACGAGTAGGGTTCGAGTTAGATAGTCCTATAGTGATTGATCCAGGATTTAGGTTGGAATTCAGTAACTGCAGGAAATTGACTTTGGGTTGTCGTCTGTGTCATAGAAGCAAACTGCAATCTCGTAGGATGTCGTGAATCATTCAATTCAATATGGTTGTATAATGATGAAAATGTTGGACATTCTTCTTTTCAATTCCACCATTCCTTCCAGACTGGTTTGAGGAGAGCAAGAAATTTGTGGAGGAATTCCAAAGGCGACTCAACAAAGATGGAGAAGAGAACAAGGAGAAGGATGCAGTACTGGCTGAGATGAAGGCCGATCTTGATAAGCTGAAAGGATTCTCGAGTCTACCGGCAGAGGAGTATGTAGCGACTCTCTACAAGACGTGGCCGCCCAAGGCTCCGGGGGCCAAGCTGGATGAGGAACTGTCCAAGAAGAAGCTACTCCTGAAGGCCATTAGTCACTATCATCCGGACAAGGTGGACAAAGAGGTCCATGGCAAGAAGTGGTACTACTTCACGGAGGAGATTACCAAGTGCCTCAATGATAGATACATGAGAGAAAAATTCACTGATGTGGACTAGGGCTCATATTGATAAAGGGCTTGATTAAACATGGTTTAACTTAGTCCATTTACAGTGATGGATTGGGGAGGGGCCACCGGGGACTACCCCGCCTGAAAATGATTTATTGTTACTTTGTTCCCGATGATTGCTCAATATCACCTCACATTACATCGTACTCATTAGCTCTGCAATTATTTGTATGCCTCCGCTACAAAGTCTGTTCGTATGTCTCGTTCTTGTGATCGCGTTATCACAAGAACTGATAGATGGGTCATGTATGTATCTTGTAGAGCCAATGAACTGATCAGATTTCGGGGTCACGAGGTCACAGGGCTCATTAAGTGTGCAAAAATAGCTCGTGATCGCATTATATCAAGAACCGATTTCAGGATTACCGCCAAACTTGGGTCAAGTATGTATCTTGTAGAGCCAATGTACAGATTAGATTTTGGGGTCATGAGGGCGAATGTCAAAGGACCCAGGGCTCTTAATGTATGCACAAATAGCTCACCATCAAAATTATCATCAGAACCAATTGACGGATTACCATCAAACTCAAGACATGTATGTATCTTGCTGAGCCAATGAACTGGTCAGATTTTGGGGTCATGAGGTCAAAGGTCATGGGGCTCATAATGTATGGACAAATAGCTTCTGATCACATCATTACAACCTATAGATGGATTACCATCAAACTCAGGACATGTATGTATCTTGCTGAGCCAATGAACTGAATAGATTTTAGGGTCATGAGGTCAAAGATCATGTCATACATGTTTATGCAAAATAATTACGATATTCTGAGAACCTGTCAATGGATTACAATCAAAATTGAATGTTAAAAATTGTTTCTGTTTTGGTTTGTAAACAGGCTCTTCGGCGGAAGCATCAATTTCGACTGCGCAAAGTCAAAGTTCCATCTAGTTTTTACTGGATGGGGAACACTCCATATTTTATAATTGACTAAATCTACCCTATGATGTACAGATTAATGATGCACCAACATAATCCTATACTAAAGGTATGTTTTGACGAGTATTAATCAAAGTATTTCTTACTTCCTAATTTCTTTCTTTCTTTCTTTCACCTTATAGTCTTGTCAAATATTGGGTGTATGAGTTAGTGCAATGGATATCTTTGGAAACAGGCTTAAAGAGGTTGTAAAGCGATTATCATGTAATGCATCTTAGATTAATGGTTTCTAAGTTTTATGACATTATGTATAATAGCCATTCTCATTAGATAGCATTGTAATTGGAAAATCATGTATAACTTTCCAATTAAACCCCACTAGATGTTGACTTTGAATCAGCAATCACCACGAACGAAGATTATACATGAACTTTATTTCAAAGGATGGTGACATATTCTTCATTCCATGCGCTCTATGGCAATATTGTGGCAATATTAACATTTTAATATTACGTTCATACCATTACTGTAGTTCTGTATTTCACAATTTTATTTATGTATACTGATGTACTAAAACTTAAGTATGCATATATCACTTCTGATTCTACACGAAATACGATTTGGTAAAAAGTGCCGACTCAAAAATTCCACCATGACCGTTGATGATATCGATTGTTTGATTGATCAACATCTCATGAGAAAATAGATAGATAAACGGTATTATATTGCATCTTTCATGAATGGCCGTTTCACAACTTAATGGTACATGAATTACACGAATTGGATAATATACATTGTAAAAATTTACAGAACATTTAGGATAACGTGTCATGTTTGTACTGCCTAAATACAATAAACAATTAAAGAACAGCTAGTTAATGAACATAATTATTTTAAAAAAAATGTATAAACATAATTACATGCCAACATATGGACTAAAACAAATTATACAACAGGTCTTCATATTACAATATTGCATTTGTGGGTATAGTGGTAAAATAATCAAGGATAGCGGCAAGAGCAATGGTATGAACACTTAGTAGTATTTGAAATCATACAAATTTAAAAGTAAACAACAATTCAATATCATTAAAACATACCGGTACAAAATACAAAATCATTAAAAGAATGTACACAAGAATGTCACATTACTCCAGAACTTTGTTCATATTAATGTTTTCACTATTATCATACATTATGGTATGCATACAATGCCATAAACATCAAATCATAATAGAGCAATCTTTCGTTTATGGTATCGAAAGACTACCGTACCCCTCCCTCCCTCATCGAATCATTTACTGGCCCTTTAAGAGTCTCATCTACAGCTCGGATAGTTTACATCCTGTTCTATGCTTACATCCCCAACTGAGACATTACACAGGACTTGTGCTTGCAAACTCACGGCTGGAAATTGAAAATACTCATTCATGATCATGACATGAAGTTGAACTTCTTTCAAATCTATTGTTGCGGTTTAATAGAAAAAACATGTAATGCTAAAATTGTGAAGCAAAATGTTCTCTTTATCTTTGTTATAACAACTTCTTCTTTTTTCCGGATCGAATACAACATGTATCTGCAATTGTCATAAAATAGTGGTTGTATCCATTGTAGTGCGATTTTATTAATGAATTTCCTCACTTTTTGTGGGTATATATTTATAGCCTGCAGTTTGCAATGAAAGTTGCGATGGTGGCAGGAGATGTGTTTGACTAGAGATAAGCAGCTTTGCGCGGAATAATGCCCCCCCCCCCACCCCGCGTTCGTCGGGATAGTTATCCTGCACTCAAGTAAAAGTACTGGTAGTCTGGTTTTATATTGGGTTTATGATAACGTTGTGTAATGGATATTGCTGGAAACTAGGCTCAATAAGGGTGTGTTTTGACATTCGTCCTAGTGCTATGTTCGGGTAATGGTTACTTTATTGTATTATATGTCATCAACCATATGGTAACTCTCAATAGATTTATCATTTTAATGGAAAAATCCCAAGTTCATTTAAAACAGATCTAACAAGGCCTTTCCACATCAACATTTACCTAACGGTTTGCATGAATTTTTATTGCCCAAATACAAAACTTCACTCCTTGGTATTGATATTCCACATGCTCCATAAATGTTATTACAGGGAAATTTATTTTGAAAAATGTTGAAATATTTATATGACATTAAAATTTTCAATGCTTTGTTCATAACATTACTTTATTTTTGTAGTTCACAACTTCATTCATGTATACACGTATATAAATGTAAGTATATACATTTAAAATGAGTGTGCCAGAAAGAAATCGCTATAAATGTTTATAATATGTACTGAAATGAACTAAAAAGATTATCATGATTGATGAAATGTGCATTATTGTATTTAATTGTTAGCAAGAATGTATTTTGCATGGAAGGGGATATCTATTTGAGGCATATCCAATTCACGAGGAGGTGACAATTAATTGTATATTACGTATGTAAGTATGGTTCCTTTATTATTTATTGTATATATTGCGTTGTAAGAATCAACATTTTTTTGTCGGGTAAATGTTGATGAATTTACGTCTTTTCTATTTTGGTAGAATAATATTCTTAGAGTTTTGTAACTGTTTCCCTCTCATAAACTTTCAACCGAGAAAAAACGCCCTACAATGGGAATAAACATGATATTATCTGATTAGATATAACTGTATCTAAATTGTCTTTAAATAAATGTCGAAATGGAATGGAATGGACTGTATTTTCGTATCGTATCTCTTTCAGAGTAAACTTATGAATCAAATTGTATTAATGTAAGACATGAATCGAAAGGTTATTGTCTAGGTTGTCATTAAGTGTGTAACCACTGGCGTACCTATGGGGGGGGGCAGGGGGGGCAGAGTGCCCCCCCTGACGGGCTCCAGGGGAAAAAAAAGAAAAAGGGGAAAGAAAAGAAAAGAAAGGAAAAGGAAAGAAAAAGAAAAAAGGAAAAGGGAAGAAAAAAAGGGAAGAAAAAAGAAAAGAAAGAGAAAAAAGGAAAAAAAAAAGAAAAGAAAAAAGGAAGAAGAAGAGAAAAGGAAGAAAAAGGGAAAAGGAAAGGAATAAAAATGGGGATTTTTTTTTAAAAAAAGACCATGGCCGTACGCACCGGGGGGGGGGGGGAGGGGGCAGTTGACCCCAGATATTTTGAAAACGTACATTTTTTTCCTGAAAATGTAGTGTAGGCCTATACCAAATCCTTCAATTCTACTTTTGAAAATGCAAAAGTACCCTCATGACCAGTTCGGTCGCTCGAACTCCCTTCACTCCTTTTGCTTTTGAGATTCTTCGAAAACTTTTAACGCATCTTTCCCCCTCCCCCACCAGAAAAATATTCCGCATACGGCCCTGAAAAATTAAAACAAATGAAAATAGGAAAATATAAGTGATATAACAAATTTGAAACTCTTCGCTGGCGCGAACTGCTTGCTAGCCTATTTTGTATTAAATATTTTCACTTGCTCGTCCCCCTGAAAAAAGAAAAGGATTAGTATTGCCTAGAATACAACTGTGCCTGCCCCGACGGGCCATATATGTACCAAATGTTACTAAAAGAGACTAATTCATTTTTCTCGCTCGCTACACTCGCTCGTGAATAAAATGAATAGACATTGCTTTGGAAACAATTGTGCCCACCCTTGACCTGCAACAATATCATTAAAAATGGAAGATTTTTTCGCCCTCCCGCCAAAAAGGAATTGAATCGCGTTAAACGCGTCCATACTGACCTGCACCAATAAAAACAAGTTTATTAATTAATTTCTATTAAAAGATAATTTTTTTTTTTTGCTTGCTCGCTATGCTCGCTCGCCAAAATGGAATTGACACCGCTAACGTGCCCGCCCCAACCTGCAACAACCAGTTAATAATTATGTACCAAACGTTATTCAAAGAAGTTTTGGTGTGCTCGTGCTCGCCAAAACGGAATTAACATCACCTTAGACATAATTGTGTAAGCCCTGCCCTGCAACAAAAAAATCTGAAATTTATGAACCAATTATCATTACAAAAATTTTGCTCGCTCGCTACGCTCGCTCGCCAAAATAGAAATAACACCGCTTTTAATAATCATGTCCCTGACATGGAACAATGAACCAAAGTTTATATACCATATTTTCCCTATAAAAGAAAAGTGATTTTTTCGCTCGCTACGCTCGCTAGCTCGTGGAATTATGTGCCCACCACTAACCTGCTACAATATCATTAAAAAGAGAAATGTAGGGGGTTGCCTGCCCGCCAAAATGGGATTGACATTGCCTTAAACACGATTGTGCCCGCCCCCTACCTGCAACAATGAAACAAATTGTATATAGCAATTCATTGAGAGAAAGATGTATTTTCGCTCGCTAGCTAAAATG